CGCTAGACCGCTAGTCACACCCACTGCGCAGCCCGTTGTCATGCCGACGCTTGCAAGTGATTGGACAAGCCCGCGCAGGAATGAGGTCACCCAAAATCAGCAGTAACTGTAGCTTTTAGGGCGTGACGAGACCGCGCGCTTGGCGCGGAGGAGGGATCAATAAAAACACGCCTACATGCGCCAAGATTTGCTCGACACGCGCTTGGTGTAGACGCCCTCCTGATTGGTTTTAGCGTCCAGGCGGCCGACTGTCGAGCCAATCGGCATAAAGTGTCCTTAGCTGAAAGGGCCAGACTGCTCAGGACGATTTCCAGGCTGTCGTGGGCGGAAAGAGTCGCCTGGTACATTTAACTGCGAGGATTCCCATTTAGAAAGCACCCTGCGTTTGTGGCGAGTCTTGAATAGGCGCCGCACACAAGGGAGGTTGGTCGTCGTGCCGCTTAGGGATTCGGTGCAAAATGTTAACAATTTTCCAACCGTTTCAAATAAATGGCCATGACGTGTCCTATTTATAGGTACGGGAGCATAATTTTGTTGCCCCGACAAGCCACTACCCTAATAAGCCAGCCCGCCTAGAACGTACATAACCCGCTCGTGAGCGTCCAGATAATCAGTGGAAACTAATTACCGTCAGAAAAGTGATGATTTTTTGAAAGGGATGAAAAAAGATCAGAGAAAAGTATTATTTTGGTAGGACGCGGGAATAGGAACCTCCCGACCGTGTACTAAATTCCAGGTAGATTGGGGTTAGGGGCTAGAGTTAGATTTAAGGCTTCATTTAAGGTTAAGGCTAGGAGACCGTAATAGGTGGCCTTCCCGGAATTTTGCGTAAGGCTGCCCCTATTACGGGATAGTTCCTATTCCTGTGTCTCTACCGGCGTTTTTCAAAGGAAGACCTGAGGGGATCATCTTTCAAAGTCTGACTCGGGTGCTGCCAGATTAGAGAATACAGTTTCCGCTAAATTTAATCCTTCGAGATTTTGCGTAGCCTGGCTAATTTCGGAATCACTGGACCTAAGGCCGAAGGGACAGTACATTTCGCTCTCATGCTTGCTCTATTCCTCTCTCTTGAAATTCAGTAGGCTATGTCCTCCTATGTTTTTCTCTACTTTTTTCGCCCTCAATAGTTCTCAATCCTGCATTTTGTAATTTCCGAATTAATAACGTTTCATGAACTCCTCACACTTGGGATGAATGGTGTGAACGAACTCTTTACAATGCCATTGGGACATCACAGTATTCATATTGGTGAAAAGGTGGCATGCAGTCCAAATATTCAAGTATAAGGAGGCGCTTGCCGTTTCAAATAACACTATTAAGTAACCTCCCTCAGAGACTGGCGTTCTCCGATCAACACTTGAAGGCCCTTAACTTTACCCGCGTAAAAACCCTTGATGAGAGGTTATGAAATCGAGTTTACTCAGCATCGGAGGCCAGGACTGTTTAAAGTGTCCCGAACTCAACCGACAGTTGGACATCCCCATTCGTCCGGTTTTTCCGTGCTAGGACAGTCGCGTCACCGGGTGTCCGACATTGGCACCCAACAAGGGGCAGTGCTGTAGATGAGCTGGATCCAAGCGGAAGCAAGAGAGGCTCACAGCACACGTTAATCGGGCTGCGTCTGTCCGCGAGGGCCCGACTGACAGCTGTGGTACTTGGGGATTCATTGTGGGATGTTT